GAATCACTATAGCGATTGCAAAAAGTCAATGTCTAGCAAAACACACACACACACACACACACTTATTGTTTCTTTTGTTCCATTCCAATAATACTGCCTCATTTTTTACATCTCTAAAATCTATGATTTGAAAAAGTTAGAAATGATGAATGCACCAACAGAATGTTTGTAAAAAACATAAACATGCCATTCTCGGAAACTGTGCTTTGTTGTTTCTGTCATGGTGTGATGATTCACGTTCTTTGACAGAGTGATCAGCAGCAAATTAAATAATAAAGGCTGAAAACCACTGTTCCTGACAACAGCTTGAGCAACCCTCATGTCTGAACATACCCTCTCTCAAACCAACCTCTCTTTGCACAGGATAGGCTGAGGGCTGGGGCAGCCTTTGAGAGCAACTGTTACTTTCCCCATTCCCATTTAACCACCCTCTCTGCTTTTACCTCACAGGTTTCCACAAAGACTGGGAATTTCAGGTCCATTGCCCCATATCTTACCTCTACACAGGCCCCTGATCGGAGCCCACGGCCTGAATTCAACAAGGGCTGATAAGCAAGGCAAAGAGTGTACTTGTTGTCCAGTTCAAAGAGGCCAGCTTGGGCATTTAGCACTTGCGTGATAGTGCCCTGTAAAGGGTAGAGAGAGAGACAGTGTTACAAATAGTGATTTGGCACCTAAAGCAACGAGCAAGTTTTATTTGACACAGGTTTTCATGGAGTGCGGCCCACTTCATCAGATGGAGATGTGTGGATGCCAAATAAAACGTATTCATTTTTTGGAGGCCATGAGAGAGACCTTTTGCTGTTTTTGCTGCAACAGAAATTGCATTTCTCGGAAGAAGCCCAAGGACCCCTGATTAAGCTTTTGTAGTTTCAAAGTGAAAGAACTTAAAATTCCTAGCAGGTTCTCTTCATACACATGATACTGATAACTTACTGTACAGGAAATCATCTTGGACTCCCTAACTGGAACCAGCATCTTCTCGTCCTCCTCCAACTCCAATAAATTACCAGGTGGCACACAAGTTGTGGGGGAAGCAGATACTAACACACTTCCCTTAGAAGCAGCATCCAAGAATTGCTCCCTCACATGTTCTGCACAATACGGAAGAAGGTCTGAGGAAGAGCAGGTAAGGAATACTTTCAGCCCAGAGGTTTTGAGGCAGGCTACCTTCAGATTAGTCAGGATGTACCAACATCCCAGCTGCAGGGCATGATGCCATACCAACTGAGGAGGGTTCTAAGGGAGAAAAATCAGAAGGCATGTCAGAATTGAGTGCGTTCAAAATAATTCCTTCATCAAACTCTTTATCCACCAGATCCAACATGCTCCATATTCTTAGAGGTCGCTACAAGTATCACAGGAGTACACCCCCTCACACTTCATAAATATTTTATGTGACAACACTGAAGAAATGACACTTGGCTACAATGTAAAGCCATGAGTATACAGTTTGTATAACAGTGTAAATGTGCTGCCCCCTCAAAAGAACAAAACACACAGCCATTAATGTCTAAACTGCTGCCAGAAAAGTGAGTACACCCCTAAGTGACAATGTCCAAATTGGGCCCAAGTAGCCATTTTCCCTCCCTGGGGTCATGAGGCCCATTAATGTCACAAGTCTCAGGTGTGAAGGCGGAGCAGGTGTTATCACTTTCACTCTCCCAGACTGGTCACTGGGAGTTCCACATGGCACCTCATGGTAATGAACTGTCTGAGGATCTGAAAAAATGAAGTGTTGCTCTACATAAAGATGGCCTAGGCTATAAGAAGGTTGCCAAGACCCTGAAACTGAGCTGCAGCATGGTGGCCAAGGCCATACAGCGGTTTAACAGGTGAGGTTCCTCTCAGAACAGGTCTCGCCACGGTCGACCAAAGAAGTTGAGTGCCCTTGAAGGGGTGGGGGTACAGTCTGTCAGTGCTCAGACCATATGCCGCACACTGCATCAAATTGGTCTCCAGGGCTGTTGTGTGTGGCGGCAACCAGGTGAGGAGTACAAAGACGAGTGTATCGTGCCTACAGTCAAGCATGGTGGTGGGAGTGTAATGGTCTGGGGCTGCATGAGTGCTGCCGGCACTGGGGAGCTACAGTTCATTGAGGGAACCATGAATGGCAACATGTACTGTGACATACTGAAGCAGAGCATGATCCCCTCCCTTTGGAAACTGGACTGCAGGGCAGTATTCCAACATGTTCACGACCCCAAACACACCTCCAAAATGACCACTGCCTTGCTAAAGAAGCTGAGGGTAAAGATGATGAACTGGCCAAGCATGTCTCCAGACCTAAACCTTATTGAGCATCTGTGGCCCATCCTGAAACAGAAGATGGAGGTGCACAAGGTCTCTAACATCCACCAGCTCTGTGATGTTGTCATGGAGGAGTGGAAGAGGACTCCAGTGGCAACTTATGAAGCTCTGGTGAACTCTATGCCGAAGAGGGTTAAGGCAATGCTGGAAAATAATGGTGGCCACACAAAATATTGACATTTTGTGCCCAATTTGGACATGGTCACTTACGGGTGTACTCACTTTTGTTGCCAGCGGTTTAGACATTAATGGCTGTGTGTTGTGTTCTTTTGAGGGACAGCACATTTCCACTGTTATACAAGCTGTATACTCACTGCTTTACATTGTAGCCAGGTGTCATTTCTTCAGTGTTGTCACATGAAAAGATATATGTCCTAAAATATTCATGAAATGTGAGGGGGTGTACTCACTTCTGTGATATACTGTATATCAATCTACACACTTGAGAGTTATGTATTATGGTAACGGCCTACCATCCCTAAGATGATTACACCAACATGTTGCTCTGTATCCTGGTTGTGAATGTTGCCTGTTCCCACCTGTCCAGTCAGAAAAAAATCCACTGCACAAAAATGGAGAACTGCATCTCCAGAAGCCTCCCAACAGGCCTAAACATCTTAAGGCTATCTTGCTCCACAGGCATCTTTATTGCCACAAATATTTTTTTCCCCCGAAAGCAGAAGTGAACTTTAGAGGTCTGGGTTGTGAGAAAAGGCGTGGGGACCACCTCTGGGCGCTCCATAGCTGCCCATCTCTGCTTTCCATAGTGAACTTAACATTCTGCATAATTAATGTACAAGGATAAAACCTTTTGTTTAGGGAGAAATAATTTAAAATATGGAAAGATGGTATGGCTCTGTTCCAGAAATTAAGTTTTGTTGGGCTACTGGCACAAATCTAACAGATGAACTGCTGTCCAGACAACTTACCTGCACAAGTACTGGCACACAGGCAGCTGAACAAGAGGCCTTCAGGAAGAGAAAGAAGAAAGTCTTCTGGTGGATACAGAGAATTCTGCTCAGCCTGAAGAGTTCGCCTGCTACATTCAACGTTGCCTTCTTTTTACACTGGGGCCTAAAGAAAAGAAGAGTCCTTATGAATCAGAGAAAGCACAAAGAAAGGGCAAGATGTCTCTGGTCTATTTATCTGAATCCCTGTATTTAGTCTGATTACCTCTTCTCCCCACATGCAGGCAAACAGTGTAGAAATCTAAGCTTAAATCTGGCACGAGGTGAGAAGCCCTGGCTGATTTACATAACCTTTATATAACACATAGCTACCTGAGGAACACTATCCTTAGAGCAAACAGTCAACATTTTGGTAATAAGAGAGTGAGCCAACATCACCTTTATGGCTAGGGCAAGCTCTCAGTAGAAAACAACTATTGCTTGAACATTCCTTCTGAAGAATTTAACTGCTTTCTGTGTTCTGAGAAACAGGTGCTAATTACAGGGATGAGCATCAAGGCAGCTGCAAACATCTGACTGACAATTTCAGATGCTTACCTGGCTCCGAGCAGCTGTGCAGCTAGTCCTGGGTAAAAGACAGGGACACTATCAATTGTTTTCGTTGGAGCAGACGTCACATGGACTGGGTCTCCTAGAATCTCCACATATCCACCACCTGTGTTTTGGCCACTTTGGGGGATGTATACCCAACCAGGGAACAGCAACGGAAGTCCCAGCCACTCAAGTTTAAAATGCAGAACCTAAAGTTTAAAATGCGGGGGTGGGGAGGAGAGAATTTCCATTAAACGTAGCCAAACCACAGCCCTTTCTATGAAACGGGTACATCTGACTATAGCTAAGGACTTTAGATTGTCTCTTCTACCCTCCACAGATGTTCTGCATAACCACCTTTCTCAAAAACTACTTTAAAACATCAAACAACAATCTGTGACATAGGATATTTTCCCACCAGAGCTTAGTAAAATCATTTTGTTGGACAACAGTGCCTAAAATGCACATGCGCGCACACAGAGAGAGAGGGAGGGAGGGAGGGAGGCACCAAGCCAGCCTAGTCAGTGGCCATCTCAGCTATGGAAGCTACTCCAATTCAAATGCAAAAGTATAGAAGAGTATTGTACAGAAGAGTTAGGTTTTAAATATAGTCTTATCTCAGAGATAACTGACATTCACAGCAAGACTGGCAACCTCTGGGGTCCACATGACAACCATCAATATTTCTAGACATAGAAATATAACTATCTGAAAACTTTCCTTCGCTCTTTATCCCCAATGTGTTACTCAGAGTTGAATTCTGTGGTATCTTCCTGACAGAAATTCATCAGGTAAACTTATCAGACGTCTGGGAAAGATCCTAACAGTTACCTTTCTTATCAAAGCCATATTACATTTGTACCAGTACAGGAAATTCTACAGCTTAATAGAGCTTAGTGTGCAATTTGACATCTTCCCTGATAAACTCAAACCACTAAGTAATTTTCCTGGTAACGCAGCACCTTAATGTAAGCATCCATGGTAATCTGGTCATGAATCAAGAACACCTTCCTGCATGAGTCATTCATGTTCTTTAATTATATTTTCTTATATCCTTGACCATACACGTCTTTCTACCTGAGATGATTGTCCTCTTCCACCTTGTGTGCAGCTTCAGAAGGGACTCATATGGGAGTGATGAAAGAGGACGGGGACACTTGCCTAGCCAGCTAGATCAACCAAATCAACCCTGGCGATCAATAGAGTGACTGATGTCAACATCAGATGACTCTTACATATTAATCACCTTTTAATTTATTTTTAATATGAGTATTACTATAGCACAAGCATATCTTGGGGACACAGACGTTCAAGGAGAATCACAATTCAGTGACCCAAAAGGTATCACTGGTTGAGGGAAAGATCATTTTTAATGCTGCAGAATTTCAACAGCTTGGCTGTTTTGATTTTGACAACTGCAATAACTGGATGTGTGATTTACAATTATATTATGCGTAGACATTTATGCACTACATTCTCCACACAGAGCCCCCTAAGGCTTCTCATTAAGTTTCTGAAGGCCTGTAAGCAGCATCTTAATGTCTTTCGAGGGAGTCCAACATGTTTTTCATAGACTCACAGAATAATTGGGTTGGAAGTGACTCATAAGGTCATTGAGTCCAACTCCCCAAGAAGTTGCTTAAAGGGAAAAAAGAGCAGAATGTTCTCATGCCGTACCACACAGGGCAACATGCCCGTGTTGTCCCGTAGATACAGACTGCCATCCACCAACTTGTCTTTGCCCGATACGCCTTCGTCTGTCAAGTAGCCAAAGAGGATCAGGTGAGTTCGCTGCAAAATTCTCTGCTCGGGCAGCACCCTTTCACCCTGGCGAACCCACCGGTTGAATTCATCAGAGCTCCAGGTCAAATGACTACAGCAAGGCATCCGTTGCTGGGACTGAAGCTCTGAGATGGAGACAAGGCTGGGGGAAGAAAAGAAAAAAATTAATTCAAAAATTGAATTAAACTAAATGTCCCAAATCCTGTTGCTTAGTGTAGTAAACTGCATTAGAGTAGCCCTCTTAAATCAAAGGGCATTTCTGTAAGCCAATGCCTCCAGAATTTCCATTGATTGAAATGGGTCTATAATTGTGACATATCAGGCTCAAGTAAGTCAGTGAGTAGGCCTATTTGAATCCATGGAACATACAGAGCAGTTGATTCACCAAATCCCCATTGATCCAGTGAGTTTACTGTAGTGCAATTTACAACACTAAGCAACAAAATTTTGGCCTGTAGCTACTGTACTAAGAAACTATTAAGACTCCTGGAAACCTGTTGTAGAAAACTTCTAAGGAATACTGTATTTTCATAACATGCAAATTGTTATCATCATGACAACAATGACCTTTGCCTCCATATTACATGCCCTCACCTTCAGGCTAGATCAAAAACACAGGAAGCTGCTTTGATGCAGACTTAGACCATTGATTGTCAGAACTGATTGGTTGTGTGCCTTTTGGGGTTTTATTGCTGGAACCTTTCCCCCTTAGACCATTGATTGTCAGAACTGATTGGGGTTTTATTGCTGGAACCTTTCCCAAGCCCTAGCTGAAGATGTCAAGGACCAACTACTGTACAATGTATGCAGACCACCTTTCCCATGCAAAGCAGGGGACCTACTGCCATGGTACAAGTTGCTCCTCTAGGACTGAGAGATGGAGAACGGTGATCAATCTTTTTTCTTGATAGCCAGCTGCAAAAAAAGGATCACAACTGTGACCCATGGGGATCCATCTGACTAAAATCAGTGAAGCATTTATTGGCACTTGGAGAGGCTCAGCCCCAGGACCTACTTCTAGAGCAGAAATACTAGACATACAGTACAGTGTATATGCGAAGTGTCTTTTAATATGTAGTAAGCATAAGCTGCATCTCCATTCTGAGACTCCTGCACCTTCCACTATCATGCAGCTCATATCACCAGAAAAGTCTTCCTAATATTTAGTGGAAAATAAAACCTTCTTTCACATAATTTGAAGCCATTGTGGCCTGTGTTCTAATCTCTGCATCACAAGAAAACAAATCGGTCTCACCCTCCGTGACTGCCTTTCATACTTACAGGTTAGTTAAATTAACCACTGCCATTTTGCCTATAAGTCTTCCCGGTCTGAGATTATCCAAGAATCTTGCGGTGCCACAAAAACTAGCACATTTATCATGTCGTAAGTTTGCATGGACCAAATTCAAAAGGTCATCATAGCAGCAGTAAGTTTTTCTACATCTTTAAAATGCCACAGGGCTTTTTTTGGGGGGGGGTGTAACAAATTTAAGAGGGGCTCACTGGCTCTTGAAATGCCTGAGATCAGGAGATGACAAATGCCAAGATAAATCTGGCAAAGGCTGGGCTGCAGCCAGTTCTGCTTCCGAGCCCCACACCACCGCCACCTTTGAATAGCAGAGCTGGAAGGGACGCTATGAGTCACCCAGCTCCTCTCAAGGAAGCCCAGTGGGGAATCGAACTCCCAGATCCCTAACCCATTGAGCTATCCGACCTACTAAGGCTGTAAAAAAGGAAGCGTTAGCTGAAGGGAAGAAGGCTGGACGACCAAGCAACTAGTAGGGCAAGTCGGCAAGTCGGCACTTGCCCTTTCCACTCTGCTGGCCTCACCTATAGCCATGCAGCAGATCTTTGCTGCTGCTGCTGCTCGTGCACGGTCCCTGAGCGCGCATCAGGCACTGCCAAGCGGCGTCCACCGGGGGCTGGTCGGTCCCGCCGGAACCCTGCATTGCCCGCAGCCAGTGATGCTCCAGGGCCGCACAGAAGGCGCGGCCAGGACCGAAGTCCATTCCCACGGCGGCGGCAAAAGGTGCCTCCATGGATTGCCACAAGGCGCGCTTTTCTCGGGGGCGGGGGGCGGAGACGGAAGATGTCCCCGCCCCCTCGTGGGCGTGCCTTGGTGAATGTGCGGGGGAGACTCGGTGAAGGCAGCGAGTCCTTCATCTCATGCTACTTCCGGGTTCTCAGCCAGCAGCCATTTTGAGTGCCGGGCTGCTTCCCTTTATTAAAACCTCTCCTTAGAGATCAATGGAGAGCGTGGAAGGTTTCAAATCTGTCTGCTTCAAGCAAACCTGTATGGTTTCTCCCTCCCCTCCGCTGGGAAAAACAATAATAGCGAGGAAGAACAGTTTTTCGATTTCTTGTTGTTTTGTCTTATTTTAATTTTTTTTAAATCACTTTTTCTCGCAAACTCCTTTGCAGATTTGAAGACAAGATGGGAGGCACCTTTATTAGACCACCAAAATTCTCTCTTTCACACGGATCGCAAATACATTCTTTTTATTTTGCCTGTATCTCGGGTTGGAGGGGACAGTGGTCGGGAAACAGTTGACTTTACGGCAATCGGAATGCAGCCGGTCGGGGGGATTGTCCAGACAGTGGTTTATATAGCTTGGAAAAGTTCCTTTTTTGACCTAATGCCCGGAATCCGCGTCGAGTGCAGCCATTTAGTGTTTGGATCGGGGGTGGGGGTAAATTTCTTCTGGCACAATCCTGCAGCGTAACCTAGCGCTATGCTTTCGTTGCAGGTAAATGTCAGGGTGAGTTCGCAGGACTATCGACCCCATCCTGCGCGTCGACCTTCACGATGCTGGTTAGGATGAGGGAAACGCAGCAACTCCTAGCCTTATCCGAGAGGTGGGGAACTGTGGTTTGCATGGGTTTTCAAAACCTTACTTTACTTTCGAAAAATCACACGGACAATTGTTTATGCTGTAGCAAAAGTAAGTCTTCTCGGCTGTCAGAGTTCGCTGCAAAAGTGCAAAATAACAGTTATTGGAACAGCGGAGGTTGTAGGACACTCACAGTTAATGTTGAATTTCGGGAATTAAGAGTACTGTATGAGGACCTTGCATTTACAGATCCAGTTATTGGAACAGCGGAGGTTGTAGGACAATCACAGTTAACGTTGAATTTCGGGAATGAAGAGTATGAGGAGCTTGCATTTACAGATCTGAAGCCTCAGTATCTGGCCAGGCTGATTTTTGTACTCTTTTATCCCCCCGCCTATCTGGCCAGGCTGATTTTTGTACTCTTTTTTTATCCCCCCGCTCGGTACCAATCTGTAATAAGGATTGTCATGTTTGCTGTTGTTTCCCGTCCTTCAAATGGCCTTTGACATGGCAACCCTACAAAGAAAGACCTCTAAAATATCCTGTCTCCTTCATCCTGCTCATCCCCCCGCCTGGTACCAATCTGTAATAAGGATTGTCATGTTTGCTGTTGTTACCAGTCCTTCAAGTGGCCTTTGACATGGCAACCCTACAAAAAGAGACCTCCAAAATATCCTGTTTCCTTCGTCCTGTTAAGTTGTTGTGAACTCATGGCGGTGGTTTCCTGTATGAAGTCAATACAATGCATTGTTGTCTTCCTCTCTTCCTGCTGCCTTCCACCTTTTCCAGCATTATTGCCTTTTCCAGAAAATCCTGCTTTCTCATGATGTGCCAAAAGTATGAAAGCCTCATTTTTGTCATTTTTCCCTCCAGAGATATTTCAGGCTTGTTTTGCTCTAGGAACCACATTTTCATATTTCTGGCAGTCTAGGATATCCACAAAACTCTCCTTCAACACTATAATGTAATTCAAATTAATCAGTTTTTTCCCCCTGTCAGATTTCTTTCCTGTCTCTACACAGTGACTGGAAACACAATACACAGTGACTGGAAACACAATGGATTATATTGCTCTCAAGTGACACATCCTTACACTTTTCAGTCTTTTCTAGTTCCTTCATTGCTGCTCTTCCAAGTCTTCCCTGTCGAACCAGGACCATTGAGCTTCAGACATTCTTTCTGGGTGTGTAACGGTTAGGTGTGGTTTAAGTGTGAGAATTATGTCCTGGTAGACCTTGCAAATATTCTGGGTCCCCAGAAGAGCATGTTGTCGTAGCTCTTGGAGTTTACTGGTGCTCAGCATCTGCCTTATACTGTCATCAGTTTTAATAGACCATTTAAGCCTTTTCTCACCTAGAACGTGGCCTGGCATTTTATGGTCTGTTAATACCCCTGACTGGTTTTGTTGGAATCTTAAGGGCACTCTGAGAGGGAGGTGGTCACTTTCTGACCTGTCATCGATTGCTAGAGAGTATACATAAGGGAGGACAGCAGAAGATCCTATAACATAGTCTACCACACTAGCACCCTTATCAGCTTTTTGTCCTTTTCAGGAGATTGGGTGATTATGGCGATTCCATCAAAGATTGAGATTATTAAATTCTTTGGTGCATTCCAGTAGCCAGTGGTTATTTGCAATATGATCTCAAGTGCCTCTTCTTTTTTGGAATCTAGATTGAATATCAGGTCTTTCTCACTCCAATTAAGGTAAAAACCTTTGTTACCAAAACTTCAGCATTACTTTGCTTGCATGGAAAATTAAGGCAGTTATCCTGCAGACACTGCACTCCTTGGTATGCCCTTTATTGGAGATTGAAATGTACAGTACTGTATATTGAACATTTCCAGCCTGTGGGCCATTGTTTTGTTTTCCATTTTAGTTGGCATATTCTTGTTAGGATTTTTACAGATCTACCTCAGTTATTAACTTCTCCCAGTGCTTTGCAAGTAGCTTTCACTGTACTTTCTAAAAGTGCAGACTTTTCATCATAGTACAGTATTCGTTTTCAAAGGACTTGGCCCTTCCATTCTGCTTGCCGCACCTATAGCCAATGCAGCAGATCTTTGCTACTGCTGCTGCTAGTGCACAGTCCCAGAGCACGCATCAGACACTGCCAAGCGGCGTCCACCGGGGGGCTTGTTGGTCCCATGTGAGACCTGCATTGCCGCAGTTGTTTTATGTTTGCATTTTAATAATAATTGCATGTTGCCAAGCCCTTTTGCAGAGTTTTCTGGGTATAGTGTAGTCAGCAGTGGCTTACAACTCCGTTCTTCTGGGGGCATTCTGGGACTGTACAGCTTGCCCAAGGCCACAGAGACTGATTCTTGTGGGATGTACAGTGGGGACTGAACTCCCAAGCCCTAGCACCATAGCCAGATACCTAACAGCAGTTTAGTAAAAATGTTACCCAGACTTCTTTTTTAATTTTGTGCAGATGATGCAGCCTTTTTCTGTTTCTTTTCTACTAATGAATGAATGAATGAATGAATGAATGAGTGAATGAATGAGTGAATGAATGAATGAATGAATGAATGGGCGGGCGGGCGGGCGGGCGAGCCAGCCTATTCAAACTGGAAATGTAAGAAATGGTATTTGGTTTAGGAGAGATGGTAATGTTAAGGTCATTCATGTACACTTTCCCCACATTTATGGATGATTCAAAGCAAAAAGGTAGGGGGAAGTTGGTTTTCTGTTTTTCCCAGCAGAGTGATTAGGTTTTTGAGAGAGAAAGAAAGCAAAGTAGATTCCACACTATGGAATCCAATCCACGCTGTGGACTCAAAATCTTTCTTGTTGTCCAGTTTCCCAGTGTGATTAAGTGGATAAAGTGATGGACTAAGGCTCTGGAGAACAGGATATGAATCCTCACTTGATCACAAAAAATCATCTAAGGCTCTGGAGAACAGGATATGAATCCCCACTTGATCACAGAAAATCATTGGGGGAATGGAACTGGTAAAACTACTTCTTAAATATCTCACTTACCTTGAAAGCCCTATTAGAGTTGCTATAAATTGGTTCCAAATTTGATGGCACAGAACACATAGTTATGGTGTCTGTCCCCCAGGATTGCAAAAAAGCATGCTGCAGTCTGAAACCAGTAAAGTAGGGACCCCCATGAACACATTGGGACTTCTGAATACAGTAAACAGGTTCAGTATTGCTGTGGTGCACTATCAAAGCAGACTTCCCAATTACAGTACTTATGACACTTCTTATGTCAACTTGTGGTAGAAGTCGCTGCTACCCATAGAAAACAAAGGAGAGGTCGATTGCAGGATGTGTTGTTGCAAAATAGCATGTATTCTGATTTGGGGATGCAATAACAATGACTACAAAGGTTATGTCTGCCTAGCTTGAGCTGCATTTCATGAGGATTTTTTTTTTTACTAAAAAAAGTTGGTCTTCCAAATTAAAAAAAAAGAGATAGGGCATTCATCTTTTTATCATATTACCATAATAGAAAAATCAGATTCAGTGTTTGAAAACAGGAAAATAAATTTAAATATGCAGAAAAATCACCCTCAGTATATATGTAAGAGTGGTGGTTGAGAGGTTTCCATAGGTACCCAATACTTATGCCAAATAAAGCTTAATCTAAGAAAATTTATGACAAATAACATTCGTAAGATGTCACAAGATTTTGGTTGCTGAAGCTAAGGGGGTGGTGCGTTAGTGCTACCGGTGGTAAGAGTAGTAATGTTCAGAGCTTAGTTACATTTCAACCATCTTGCAATAAATATCCTATGGAGGAGATTTTCTTTCAAATGTAGTACAGTATATCAGGGCTGCAAAACTGTACATATCAGCGTCCTTTTCAAGACCTTTTTGTCCTCACAATTTCCACAAACCTATGTTCTTATACGCCTGCTCTCCACCAGTGGGAATTCCTCTATTTCTCTGTGTGGTTCAAGGGTAAGGGTTTGATGGCAAATACAAACCAGCAAAAAGGTTACTTGCCTTCCCTTGCAGAATATGCTGTGCTCATGATGGACTCGGTAGATTTCCACTACTATGTGTACGAACAAACAAATCATGAATCTCTCAGTACAGTAGTTGTTTAAAAGTTATTAAAATGCTAGGTTGTGGGACATATTTCCCTCTACCACACAAGGACTGGTTACTTTCTAATAGTGGCCAGTTGGAATAAATTCCAACACCTTTCTGTTTGTTTATGACAAAGTGAACAGTTCTGTTTTGCCTTTTTTTAAAAAATGACGAAGCCAACAACACTATTTAGCTGAATGCCATAGATTTGATTTACATGGAGGCAAGCTGTGGCTTGATCTCTCCAAAAGTAACATTCTAGTAATTGAAAGGAAGTTGGCTATGTATATCAGTGCATCGTATCTACAGAGAATCCTGAACAATGCCATAGACTGCAGAAATGAAAAGTTGAGAATCTGGGTGAATAAAATTTGGTTCTCCTGATGTTGTTGGACTGCAACAATCATTAGTCCTAGTCAGCCTAACAAATGATTAGGAGCACTGGCCATTGTTGTCCAGTATTTGAAGAGCCATGCCTTAGGAAGAACACAATAAGCTTATTTAGTCCAATAGTCCATCTATCCCAGTGTGGTCAACTTTAACTGTCAAGGGCCCTTCAAGGTTGCAGACAGGATGTTCTCCTAGCCCTCCACGGAGTTTCTGAGGACAGAACTTGACCATGCTCCACTACTGAACTACAGCTTCTCCCTAGTGGTCTCCTATCTAAGCAGTAGGCAGGCTGTTTACATTCTGGAATCGGACAAGACTGTGTTCAGAATTATATATTGTGATAATACTTTACTTGCTCTGATCTAGATCATGCTCCTGAGTCATGCAAAAGTTCCACGGTCCTGCTCTCTTGTATGAGATGAGTTGTCTCTTTTAAACTGAGCTTGCATTAAATCACAGATTGACCTATATTAAAATTAATGGCACATATAGTGGCACATTGTACAAGACATTATGATTTAGATGTTCCTAAATATATTACAAAAAAAGAAAAAGCCTTGTGTCGCTGAAATACCAACAGATTAAGTGTGTAAAGTGTTGTCCTAAATTAATGAATGGGGGGAGTACTGTATAAAGAAAACTAAGCATTGAGATGATAGGGAAATTACTGTAAATGCAATATAATATCAGAGGAAGGAAACTGTGTGACAAAAATCATAAAACATTCTTGCACAGAATGTTAGTGGGTGCCTAACAACATTTAACTGAAGAGTTCAGTATGAACAGAAAGCAAGAAATCCCAGAACTTTTTATCTTTTAAAAAAACAACACAGTTCCCAGAATATCTGGCCAGCACAATTACAGTGACTATTTGCAAAGGAGTACTGATAATAATATTAATAGCCATTGTTAGACTGGATAACCTACAGAGGATTTAAAACCCATAATCTTGATTGAGATTAAAGATGCTTCTTAGGCGTCCTTCAGTCTCGAGAGACTATGGTAATGTCCTCTGTATGGAGGACTTGGAACAGCGTCTAGTGTGGCTGATAAGGCCAATTTGAGAGTAACAATCCATTCCACACTGAAGATAAATACAATCTGTCCCCTGTCCAGCTCCCTGATTTTGCTGGTTTCAGGACTGCCTCTTTGCCTTGCCCTGCTGGATAAGGGTATTTTCAAATTGGGAGAAGCTGTGATGCAACACCTGCCTCAAAGCTGAACACTCAGATGTCAAGGTTTCACATCTGTTGAGGTCCATTCCTAAGGCCTTCAGGTCCCGCTTGCAGATATCCTTGTATT